TGTTTAAGAACTGATATAACTGCAATATGACAAGAGTTGTTCTCGTTAAATATTTTCATAATAAAACGATAAAAATTACCGCAGCTTATTACTATTACAGCTTATACTTATTACAGCTTAGTACTATTTTCACTCATTTAACATGTACCGGTTGTGTTGACTATTAAATTTTGCCGTTCTGTAATACATAATTCTTAATTCGGGAATAAACACGATTCATAAGTGTTATATACCTTTGAATTGCTTCCATTCCGCATGTAAACACAGCCTGTGTAAAATGAACGAAACGTCGAGCAATTCAAAATGTGTAAACACCTATTAATCGCATAAATTTCTGAGACGCTGCGAATACTCATTTAAAAGTCTAGTGCGTCGGTCTCGCTGTCGGATTGATATTTATTAAAGGGGACGCTATAAGGGCTAAGCTTGCTTACCTAGTGCCATGGGTGTCATATTAGAATTTCTTACATATTCTTTAGTTTTTGTTTACGGCATAAGGAGGTAATCGAGCGGACGGCTCACCTGATGGTAAATGACTATCGCCGTCCCTGGACACCTTCAACTCAAGATTCACAAGTGCATTATCACCTGCAAGCATTAGGAATGAGCCAAATAAAAATAAATTCACTAGATTGCTTAAGGAGTTCCTTTTAGATACTGTGTGAGAATGTCACTGAGATATACATGTAATGTAATGTAGATGTCATCAACAGCCTTTAACAGTCCACTGCCGGACACAGGCCTCTCCTTAGAAAGAAGTTTTTGGCCTACTTTACTACGCGGGCCAGATGGGTCGGTGTAGGGTTTGTGTCAGGTTTTCCTCCTCTCTGCAGTGTGGTTGTGTTGAATATAGATGTATCGAGAAACAAGTTTTGTTCACACAGACAAACAACGAAAGTTGTTAGTCTAATAAACTAAAAACTCTTTTCAGTCCCTTCCCCAGAATCAATGGGAGGGTTTAGGCACCGGTTACCTCATTCAAAAAATTACTTAACACTGATTTACTGTGATGCCGTGGTGTCACTCCGCCCGAGCCTCTCCTAATCATCTTTTGATTTTTAATAACATTGATATTTCAGGCATACATAATAACATTTATTATTGTCTGAATCGTAAAGAATCATGAAGAAGAAGAACATGTAATACTGGCCAAATTGTTAAACTGAAGAGCCTAAAAGTAAATAATAAACACAAAAATCTTGTTTGGACTGCCTTAATATATTTGTACTCTAAATAAATAGAAAAGGAGCTTAAAACCAAAAGGTATTACCAACCACTCAAAGTCAAGGTAAAATTGTAATGAAGTAAATGATTTATCTTTCTGTTTTATTTTAACGGCTCGTGTATTTTAGGTTTTACGATCTTAACCAGCATAAAATAAATAAATATTAAACCAATCACAACTGTTTACTCAATAGGGGGATAAGATCGTTTCATCCGAAGATCGTATCTGTTAAATTAACAAAATGAGAATGTAAAACGTTTACAAAAATCTTAGCATTTGCTATGTAGCTGGTGCTACGGCGTAGAGGGCATCTACGTGACTAGGTTGCGAGAATGTTAAATAATATTTACTTGGTAGACCTTCTGCTAATACTATATTTGAGTTCTATTGGTATTCTATGAACCAAAATTGTTCTTGGTATGTTAAGCGTTAGACAATATTGGATTCGGGGAAGAAAGGCATTTTGCAATTCCCGATTGGAGGCTGATGTACTGAAATACCTCTTACAAATAAAATATTTTTTGCCAATAAGCAAGAATAGTTATTTCTGGTCCTCTTGTTTTTCATAAGCTTAGTAAGGCCTACTTGATGAGTGAGTTGATGACGAAAAAAATTACACGCATGAGAAATACAAAACAATAGCTATTAATGATAAAAATTCTTTTCAAACCTAGACATCAACTATTGAGACATAATAAACGAGCAATTTCAAGTGCGTAAATAGTAATCTTCTATTCCCAAGTAAGTCAAACATAAATTCAAGCCTAGATAATTTGGCATTCTCTGTACAGGCATAAGACGTGAGAACATGTGTCGATGTATGTATGTGTGTAATATAAGTAGTATTTAAATGTGTTAGGTTATCTTAGCATGATAACTGAAACTTAATACTTTAAAATACGTCATGATCACGAATATTTCAATGTATACGCCAAACCAATTTTGATATTTTAAGATACGCCCTCACTCGTGGTAAATATGATTGATAGCTACGTATACAGTTCTAGCTTTACTAGCTTTCGACATCAGACATCATAGAGGAAACAATGAATCAAGATTGTATTTATATATATACAATAAGATACAAACTAACCAGCTGACTGATTTACGTAAGGTTATAATGATAATATTATTTACAAACACCGATTCAGGAGTCGTTTTAAAAAATTAGTAACAACGATTTTATAACTTTTAATAAAGAGTATTCATTGTGTGTTTAAAAACGGTACTACTAAAAGTTAAGAAGTTTCATATGAAATTCCAACCCCTATCTTTCAATCTTAGGGGTGTGTTTTTTTAATGTCCACTCTTAATGCACATTTACGTCACCTAGGGAACATTTGTGCAAAATATCATGCTTCTAGACCCAGCGGTCTCAGATGTGCGTCGATCGATCAGTCAGTGAATCAATCGGTCAGTTTCTACTTTTATAGATATACTCGTAGATTATAATTTACTATAATTTTTCTCCACTTCTAAAAAGCAAATACTTCCTAATTGATAAAGGTAATGTAATTATATTTAACAAGTCTGCTACGGAATTGCTTTATTGGTCAATCGGTTGTACCGAAAAACACATTTTCTTATCTTCTAAATAATATAAATAGGTAATATAAGTATCTTAACTTTATTTAAGTTCAATATTCAAATCTTACCTTATTATTCTTAACCACCTTTCTAAGGAAAGGCCTATGTCTAGCAGCCTTTGATAGTTCACTTTTAGAGGCTGTTAATGTGATGATTCAAATCATCATGATATAATTTATATATTGTTAAAAACGTTTTTATTCAAAATATATCTTCCCTTTAAAATTATTTTTATTGTAAGATTATAAATTCACATTTACACCCACACATTCCACATTCCAGTATAACATACTCGTAACTCATCTACAACAGTCTACTCTACTGGAACGTAAAGCCATGGTTATTACAAAAAATACAAAGATATTTCATTATTTATTGGAATTGATTTTTGTATAATTTTGTAATTTTGGAGAGTAAGTAGATTTCTATCATGCTACGGGTACGATATTCAATTTTGAAACTTATCTTAAAAAATAACCAGTGAACTTATGCTATGATGATTTTGAAAATATAAATGGATATCTAATAATAGTACTTTAAAGCAGATTTTGGTCCAGGTAATTGAAATCTGAAGGACCAAGGTTTAGACGATAATTAAGAATGAAAAGGTTTTTTCTTTATATGCTCAATTTTACTGTCATAACCTCTGTAATGGGGTTATCATATGACCATGTTCGAGTATACTCCTCATTAGACTAAACTATTAATACAAAGCACTCTGAGGCTTTTTTAGGTATTTTTTTTAGTCTTAAAACAAAACCTTGAGGTTGGCATCACAAATCATATGACTACAGTTTTTGAATAAATTGTGACCAAGGTTTGTCATCAAATATGATACCTAAGGCTATCATGACCCGTTGTTCTTTTAGTCTCTAACTGTATACGAGTATATCTTAAATCCAATTACCTGTATTACTTTCAAGGAAAAACAAAATGTTTTTATATTCTGATATATCAATCATTCAAACTGCACGGATGGCGTAGTTGTTTAAGTGGTCACCACGCCGCTTGCTATTACACTGAGTATTGTAGGTTTGATCCCCACATGGGACGACACTTTGTGTGATCCATAAATTGTCGTTCTGAACCTGGGTGTTCTTTGTGTCCGTTTCATGTATGTTTATAAAAGGCCTCCGCGACACAGGATATATTCCTAGTGCGGGAGCTGTCTTTTTTTAAAAGAAAATAAAAGCTACTGGCTTGTCCACACTCATTAATACCTACATATATGCACGTATCAATTAAATATAGCACTACATCATCAACCATTCCATATAACATACTATATAAAAATTCATTTAGAAAAGAGAGGATCTTCAATATTGAAATAAAACATTAGACAGTCAGTAATAGTAACCACTGTTTTATTACAACAAAGACTGAACTAAAACTTAATTTCGTAGAAACTTCGATGGTAATTAATCTTTGTCTTGATAAGATATAAAATTAAAATCCAAACCGACCTTCGACACAATTTGGTAAAAAAGTACCAAAAATTTATAGCAGTTATTTTAAAAATTACCAGTTCTATTTTTAATCGAAAAAAACTTCATTTATATTGTAAATATATTTTGTGAGCTTACCCCGATATATAAATTTGTTTGGTTGTTACTTAATTATAATACCTACCCGTTACACCAATTAAAAGAAAATCATCTAAAGCAAATAAACGAAATTCAAACAAAAGTTGGCTCTGGGAAATTATTTTACAGTACATGACATTGTATTGACCGAAAGGCTACTAGACTAATTTTTTTTATCCTGCTGTGACCGGTAAACAATAATGGAAGAAATCATCAATCATCAACAGCCTTTATTGGTACACTGCTGGACCTAGGTCTCTCCTTAGAGAAGAGGTTTAGGCTTACTATACCACGCTGACCAGACTGGTTGGAATAGGGTTTATGTTACTTTTCCTTCTCTTTGCAGTTGCTCCTTTAGTCGGCTCTTACGACACCCATGGGATAAAAAGCGGTGGTGTCACCACACAGACAATTGAAGAAATGTATTTTAATATTGCTTTCTGTTTGCTGTTTTTATAGTTGTTCACTTGATGGCCCATGGATACGCCACTGCGACCTCTTCAAGCTACTGCGTCTCAATTCAGTTTTCCTGATGGATCCCTTACCCAAACCCTCGAGTTTTCGTCACCTCAAAATACCTTTTTCCTTTGTCTGGTCTGAAAACGATGTCATTTCCAAGGATGGCCGGGTATAATAGAATCCAAAAAATATTAGATGGGAAGATGGGTAGGCAACTTGTGACGATGAATATTTTTATTGGTATTCCAGGAATTAATGTTTATATTATTATATAATTTATTATTAATGAGTATAAATACATAAGTAGTATCAACAAAGGGTTTTACTGTAAACGCGTAAGGAAAGATGAGTTTTTTTTTTTTTTTTTTTTTTTTTTTTTTTTTTGTGGAGTTATGTAGCATAAGTTGGTTTGAAAAAGATTTTTTTTATAGAACAGGAGCAGAGGATTTACCGAGACACAAGACTCCTCTTCTTCAGAATTGGAAGGGGCTGCCTACAACTCCGAAGTCTTTAACTTACTGTCAAAACCTCTCTATGGGCTCGTTTAGATTACAGAGAAGAAATTAACGATGCTAATGCTCACATTACATCGCTGAGAAGTTATGGTTGTGTTGACTTAATAAATTAAGAACAACGCATTTTCCCCCCTGTGGTAGGTGAATAAAACTAGTGATCAACTTCGATATTTATATGTGTTCTTTTTTAAAGGCATACGAATGGGGTAATGTAATCCCTGTGCATATGTCTTGTAGGTCTATAGCAAAGGCGCGAAGGCAATTTTAATAAATTATTTCTTTACTTCTGAATTATATCTACAAAATGCCTCGTGTTTTTTTTTTTAAATCGGTGATTATATGTTATTTAAAAGGCTTCATAATGTTGTCAAAGATTTTATTTTACTTAAATTAAATAATTGGAAACATCACTTTCTGCAGTTTATTTTGTGGCTAGAAGTAGACATGTTTAACATTATGTTTCTTCATTGATAAGCGTAGCATATACACAATATATATTAAGTACATAGCAGGACACTCGCCGTTCAGTCATTGCTATTCAAATATTCTTGAATTACAAAAACATTATTAGACTTGTCACCAATGGTTTGATTAAATTTAAAAAACATTTTCCTAACATTAATTAATTAAAATAAAATAATGTTGTTATTTCTGTCAGTTGTTTATTTAAATATAATGCTTGTAGGTGATAACAGACTGGGAACTGTTATTAACGGGTATTGTTACCAGAATAAAGAAACTAGAGTTCATTTTTGTTTGACTCTTTATTTGTGCATATTTTCCGGAACGTTAATTGTAATAACAATTTTTGCGTGGGAATAGCTCCAAAACTCCTTAACTTTTCTGAAATCTAACAAGAAATTACAAGAATTAAAATATACGAGCACCCTTTTGCAAAAATTAGATACATCTTACTTCCTTTGATCTCTTAGGAATCTTATTTCAATAAAGGTTTTTAGTTAATACCTCGCCAAATAAGAAAGAAATATTTTATTTCGAATAAAGCGGACACAATTTTACAGTAACAATGTAAAAAGAATGAAAAAAGTTTATGACGACATAAAGTATTAAGTAGAAACATACCTTCATAACTAAAATTTTAATATCTGTACCAAATAATCGAACCAAATGTTATCTATGACATGCCTTGAGCCGTAAAAGTGTTCTTAATTAAATAACTTGTTTGTTGCAGCGAACACAGCCGACCTGGGCGTACTGGATCCGTCGCTCTACAAATCGGATTGCCTCGATGAAGATCTTATGTGGCCCGAGGGACATGTGGTAAATATACTATATTTTATTAACCGAATTAAAGTGGCGATACACACTGCCGTGCACGATGACTGCCTCGGTAGAGCAGTGGTACTCGGGTCTCGGGTTCGGTTCCCGGGTCGGACCAAATGGTTTGGGTGTTTTCTATGCATAATATGTATATATTTACAAAAAAAAAGTATAAAAGTATTCTATCAGTCAATCTAGCTTTAATAGTACCTACAAGCTCTGCTTAGTTTGAAGTTAGATGGCGTAGTGTTTCAGATGTCCGAAAAAAATATATTATATTACGTTGAGTTCGGTTTAAAGACATGATGAGAAAATGTAATACCACAAAATAAATTAGTTAAGTATCTCTGTGATCACAATACACTATACAGTAATATAAAACAAAAGATATGAAGACAATTTTATTGGTGTCAGTACTTTTTGCTAATGTAATCTTCTAAACTCTTTTTAAATTTGAACAATTTATCACTTTTAGTAATAACATCATGCATTTTATTAACATTTTATAAATATATTTTTCTTACCATAATCAGTTTTAGGCTTTGTTACTTCTAGTTTTTTCGTTTCCTTGCGTAGTATGTTTAGCTTTTTACGTTGATAATCTAATGAAGTTTCAGAATAACCATTCGCTGTAAAAGTTAATTCTCTAGCCTATAGCAAATATGAACTTACTATTATCACGAATATCCTATGAATATGATACGTACCACAATTTGAAAAAATATGTTTTTTTTAAGTTTTCAAAATTCACTTAAGTGTGTGTATTAACTATCATTTTTATTAGTGTCTAGTCTATTAGTCTATAGCAAATTAGTGCAAAACAACGACAACGAATTAGAATTTATTCGACTAATTACTCCCACACGTCCACTACTGTAACTCCTGTATACCAGGATCAACAATAGTGGCCCACGAACACACTAAGAATTGTTAAACTGGCTAGGAAACGAAATGTAATATAATGTATTGTTGGCGATATAATATATCCACTTCCCTTCCAAGCAAAGCAGGAGACAATTATAAAGTAAAATGGGCATACGCTCTATTAAACTGGGAAGAATTCACTATAAGTCCCAAGTGAGCTATATCTGGTTCCTATAATATATGTATGGCATAATCGCTTAATGAAGAAAATCTGACTTTGGATGTAGATGTTTTCAATTTTCTCTGATGTATCGAGGTACACGACAGTCACTTTTCAAGAGCAAAATATTAGATTGTATTCTTAAAAAAATAGTTTTGCTTTGGAATTTTTCTTTTTAAAATTGTAAAGTATAAAAATTACAAAATAATACAATAAAAATTGAATGCATTTCTTACGAAATCGCGAATCTTTTGATAGGGTTGAGTTAGAGCGAATTTAGAACTTAATACCTGTATGCCTTCCAGAGAAAAAGTTGTTAAAAGACAGACAGACATGTAGGCGGACAACAAAGTAACCCTGTACAGGATTCTTTGTCTTTTTGAGGTAAGGAACCTTAAAAACAACGATATACTTCAATATAAGCGTAACAACCTTTATCAAAGAAAAAATATTATGCTTTATGCTGCCATAGGCTTTAATATCTATTATCCTTCAACCTGCACCGTTTTCTTCTATATTTAAGCTATTCCCTGCTGAGGGAGCGCATCATAAAGTAAAATAAAGTCCTTCATAAAAGCAGTTTTATGTTCCCTAAGCCTCATTGCCTACTTTGTAAATCATTTATTATGTGTAGGTGTAGTGAGTAGGTGTGTGTGTAGGTGTTTGGATCGCAATATGTTTGGATAACAAGTTGTATGAAATTTATTATTATTTTAGGCTGTGTGCCTGTTAATTATAAAGAGTCGAGACTGTAATGTTTCTTACTAATGTCAAGTACAATGTCATATCCAACATTCTATGTTTGAAATATTTAATGTGATTATCTAACTGTGCCTCGAATGTTTAACCTCGACATTTCTTGAGAGCTGTAGTAACCGGTAGGCTTGCATATGATACCATGACATCCTCTAATGTTATTAAACTAAAAAAAAATAAGGAAACTCGAGATGGATGTAAGAGTAGAAGCAAGTGGTAACTACTTGTCTCTATCTGCCCGGAAAAAGGACGGTGTAAGCCAACCATGTACGTATGGATTACACTAAATTATTCCGTAAATTGTGCGGCTGACTCTGTACCTCTATCTTTAAACGAAGCTTATGACTACGAGTTGCAGGTGTTTAAAGGCGGGCGAATGTCACTTTCTATCGGGTAACCCATCTGCTCGCTTGCCCACTATATCATGAAGAAAAAAACACTATTAGATTTCGCCGATTTAAATTGGATTCAACTTTATAGAACGTAGAACATTTTTTCGGTTTAGACAAAACATTTTCATTACCACTATTTTTTTTTTTTTTTTTAAAAGACAACGCCCGCATTAGGAATAAATCCTGTGTCGCGGGGGACTTTACAAACATACATGAAACGGACACAAAGAACACCCAGACTCAGAACAACAATTTGTGGATCACACAAAGTGTCGTCCCATGTGGGGTTTGAACCCACAACACTCGGCGTAGTAGGAAGCGGCGTGGCGACCGCTTAAACCACTACGCCATCCGTGCAGTATTTTGCTCAAACAAATCCATTTGTAAGAAAAAAATTATATTTATACAAAAATATCATTGATATTTAATTAAAACAGAGATTATTACAAAATATAAAGTAAGTTTTTAATAAAAAGTTAGATTACTACAGTAAATAACTCGACGGGTCTAAAGGAGATATTGAACTTTTCCGCGCCTAGATTTACTCCTTACAAATAAGACAGAGATCTTTTTTAATACAAACCGACTTTAATTTACTTTGTATATGAATAGTCGTCTAAAGAAAAAAATATCTTGTTATTACAGTAACGTTGGCCTTTTGAACGACTATTATATTTCTCACTAAAAGTATTTAATAAGCACATCGTGAACAAAAAATATTTAAATGACAATCAGTTTTCAAGATTATTTTAAACAATTTATTTTTACGCATAAACAGTCTATTTGACATTTTTTATGTACAATTGTAAAAAAATTAAACCGACTACCTACCAAAAGAATAAAACGTTCAGTCAAATAAGTTATCAATCTGACTTAATATTTTTTGTATGTCATCATCATCATCATCATCAACAGCCTTTAATAGTCCACTGCTGGACATAAGCCTCTCCTTAGAAAGGAGGTTTTGGCCTACTATACCACGCTTTTTGTATGTGACAGCACAATATTTTCGTTTTATGTGAACCGATTCAATTTATATTTTTAACTGATTTGATTGTACACAAGGTTAAATTTAAAGAAACCTTTACACATCGAAGGGTTAAAAACAAAGGGAAGGAGAATTCATCTTGATTATGGCGCAATAAAGACACTTTATTAGGTCATTGATTAAAGTAATCTTTGAGGGACGTTATTATTCAATCACTGTCAATGAGTTCTGCAATGAGCCACCTCGGCAAACTAGTCTTAAAATCCGTTTATAACCTTCCGTGAGGTATTTTTTGGTTTTTCATTTTTTTATATAAAACAATTCGATTAAGAGAGGCCAATTGTTTGAAGAGTTTCAATGTTTCGATATACTTTTTTGTCTGTAAATCAGCTTGAATCATTTCTTCTCTGGCGCCTATGGTATTGTGTGGTGGTGGATTAACGGACTCGAACTGACAAAAAATACACGGTGTTTACACCTGTTCCACAATAACATACACCACCGGATACTGCGAGGGCCTTACTCGATAGAAAAAGGCGAGCGGAAGACGTATTTAAATACTAGCCTAACTTAGAGCTTTAATATTTATAGTTATGACATTTCATTTTATATTGAAATCTGTATTCGAAATAATGTGTATTACTTTATCTAAGGAGAGGCCTATGTCCAGCAGTGGATTATTAAAGACTGTTGATGATGATGATGATTTTAGTACATATACTTTATGATAACATTCGAGATCCGAGTCGAATCCTTGTCTGTAAAAACAAAGCTTTTTAAAAGTCCCAGCTTTTTCAAAGTTTACTTGAAAAGGTATTTCATGTATAACTTAATAAGTAGGTGCCCATCCGTTTTAATTTTGCGTTATAGTGATACGTTTTTACGACCCGGGCCGTATTTGATAGCGCATAGGGACGTGTAAACCAAATAGGTCTAAACATATACGTATGCTAAAGAAAATTGTCATGAAAGAGCCAGTTTTTTTAAACCAACTCTTTGTAAATATTAAGAACATAATAAAACTTTATGGTTTATTTACGGTTTTTTGACATTAATGTAATTTTTATGGGTTTTATATATCGTAACGAAATTTTGTTTTAAATATTATTATTTAAAAAAAGGAAATTGTACTGTTACACACAAAAAATGACTTTTGTTAGTTTCAGAATTTACAAAAAAGAGAAGATATTTCATAACATGTATCTTCCAAGTACACATAGTGGCTACATATTTGTAGCCCATATGTAAACTTGGAAGATTTATCAATGAATGTACTGAATGTATCAAGACTGTACTGTTGCTTATTAGCCACAGTACATTCTTACTCACATTCGAGTACAGTGTCGACAGTTTTCTCAATCATCGCTCCCAAAAGTAACTTCAAACACATCGCGTCTTTGGCACACACAAACACTTTTGACACAATCACAGAAATCAAAAGAAAACAACAAAGGCTAAGACGAAAAGGAAGCCGATCTTTCTGCAAAAATAAATCATTCTAATTTTATCTTCAAAGCAGCCTTAGCGTAATGTCTGAGATGTCGGATGACGACGTTGAAGGGCTTAACCCTCAAAATAGGAACAACAAACGGCTTTTTAATATGAGAATAAATTATCTCAATAATAAGATTTAAACATAAATTGAATGTGTAGCTAGCACACAATTTACATTGATTGAAAACGAAACGCATATAATAAAATTACCATTGGACGTATAATTGAATGTCGCGTAAATCGTATCGTAATCGTCGTTGATATGACGCGAGTGAGCATGAGGCTTAATTGAAGTTCTTTTTTTTAATTTCCCTAGGGTCGAGTGTGGTTTACTCTGAAATACGAGGCGGGGACTGAAAGGCTACAGGTGCATATTATAAAGGCGAAACATCTGCCTTCCCGCACCCCTGCTTTGGCCAATGCGTGCGACCCGTACATCAAGTAAGTGATTGTAGTTCACTAATGTAATTAATGTTTACGCCTACTGGTGACTTTTTAAACGTACTATTACATTCAGGCATAGGCATACAATATGTTGATTGATAGTATAGACTTTTTGTGTTATTATGTTTCTCTTTTGAGTTCGAGCTACAGCATAATACTCAAGAATTCATCCGTATAAGTAGGTACTATCCTGTTCCTTCTATTGCCTTTTCTTCCAATCCAATTCAATCCTTTCTATAAACTCCAAATTGCCAAAAAAGTCCTGTTGACGATACTAGGCTTAACCCTTATTAACCCCGTTAGAATATCGTCCGCAATCTCTACACATACATGTCACGTAAATTTGCAGGGCATTTTCTTTTCATGATTATTTAAGGAGGTTCTTAAAGATCTTTGAACAAACCTATTGTTGTGCTTTATCTGCAGTACAAAGAGTCTACTTAATGAAAATTGTAATTCAATCAGACTTAAACTAATTGAACCAATTTGTTTTATCTCCTTAAGTGACACTTTCAGTAATAGTAAATACTTTACGAACTCAGAGTATTTTTTTTTATAATTTGCCCTTACGGTTAAACATACCACCATTCTGCAATTGGATACAGAAATATTTGTTGTAATAGTTTTGTGGTTATGTGAATCGGGGCATACGAGTGTGTATTTGAGTGCGTTATGTGTTATTAAATTCTTTAAGTGTATTACCTACGAGTATAAGGGTGATGTGAGTCATAAAGGTATGGGTAGCGGTGGTTTTGGTGGAGTAATGTTAAATTGTATGGGTAAGTAAGTGGGTAATTGTATCAGATTAATATTACCTACTTACATATGTATGTGGTAAGAACGTTTATCTTTAGAATTCGTTATTTCCTTAAAGTGTCGGTTTCATTGTGATAAATAAATCCTCTTTTTTGTGGATTTAAGAACGATTACTACCAATAATAGCTTCCAATTTGATTCCATTTTGAAAGCTACATCTGTCAACTTCGTTGTTATTCTTCACTTAAGATGTTTGACTATACATATACATACGAATTTATTCGTTTCTTGATATTACTGGTTAAAATAAAACTATATTAGCTGACATGTTCATTTATTTTTAAATATTTCATACAGTTTTATTAATTTAAACTACAAAAATCAGCTCATAGTCTTTTTAAAGTTATTCTGTCCCCATAGCAACTTTTCATTCGAGGTACGAATATAATAAACTTGAACTGATCATTGATCTTGTATTAATTTGATGTTGTTTCAATTAACATGATGTTTTCATACGAATATATTTTTGTTTCAAGGTAACCGTTAGTTATTTTAACTCTCTTGAAAGAGAGTCATATCCTTATCTATTTCACGATTTCAATCAATGACGTTTATATCTTTAAATAGGTATCTCTCTCTAACTCTAAATACAAAATGACGAAATTAGTTTAAAAGGCTTCTTAATTTGACACATACGTAACTTGTATTATTATAATGCTTTTCATAACGATAATATATGCTAAGTTACTCCATGACAATCTGTTCATGCAGTTAATAAAAATATAAACATAGCAATAACATGAATATATTTGATGAATAAATAAACCAAGACCAACAATTAGAAATTACCATGACATGGGAACACAGTGATACTTGTTTCACACTACGGCAGTATTCTATTGCCTTATTTACAAAAGGGTGAATTCCTGTGCCAAAAAATAATTATTTCATCTGAACCGTTAAATATAAAATCATATGTACTCTATTGGCCTGAATGGACCTAAATTGACAATTTAATGTTTTTATATCTTCATATTGACATCTATAATTATATTATAATTGTGAAAGTGAGTTTTGTTTGTTTGTTAGCTTTCACGCCTAAATCACTAAACCGATTTTAAAAATTCACCTATGGAAGCTACATTATCAGAGAGTAACATAGACTACTTTTTACCGCGAAACGCGACATACACGCGGGCGCCACGGGCAAAAACTAGTTGAATATAAGTGATTGAACAATAGCTTGGTATCATACAATATTGTAACGATTCTGTAGGTTTGGTGTCTAATAAAAAGATAATGATTTTATTTGTCATTTACCCCATTACAAAAAGTAACAATAATTTTATTCAACAACCACACCTCAAATTTATAGTTCAGTCCAGAGCCTCAAAATGTAAATTCAGATTGTGTATCAAAATGTAACTGGGTCAACTTCGATGAACCATTACATTTCAATACCAACTAAAATCGTTTTTGTGATTTTGTCATTTATAAATGAAAACATTGATCTTTTTCTCTAACAAAATTGCTAGCTAGGGCAGCCAAGTAAATGGCTAAGGTGTAAACCTTAGCCATTTACTTGGCTGCCCTAGCTCAAAACTCAGTAGAGGACGTTTTTTTTAAATTACCGGTTTTGCATAATTTTGCCAACCAAGTAAATCACTTTCAATAACAAAATACTAAATTTGCAAGCTACCACATATATTTTTGAATCTATATTTAGTAGATAATTGCACCATTCATGGCCTCGTGAGAACTTACAATATAATATTAGGGGTTAAAGTATGAAATTGCCGATTTGTACTGAAAAATAAAAACGGTTTTCGTTTTTTCTAAGATGTGAGATATTTATTTAATCAAAGTATTTACCCTAAATTATCTATATGTTGCTGCCATCTAAACGGAAGTTCATTTATGCCTTTACGATAGAACTCTGGGGATCTAGATTCGACAAACTGTGTGACAGCATTTTGTACTGCCTCCTGGGAAGAAAACTTTTTATGACGTAGAAAATTGTCCAAATCACAAAAAAAAATGGGAGCAAGGTCTGGCGAGTATGACGTATGGTTTCTAACTGCAGCTCTTGTAGAGTTACAACGGTTTTTCGTACAGTGTGGGGTCTTGCGTTATCAAGAAGCAATAATAATGAAGATTAATTCACGAGTCGGGGCAGTTTCACTGACAGTTTCGCCATCATTGTTCCAATGTGTTCGGCATAGTAAACATCTGCTGTTATTGCCTGACTAGACCTGAGAAAGCTATAGTGAATAACACTATGAAGAGACCACCAAACAGTAACCATTACTATTTTATTGGTAGGCTTTAGTTTAGGGTACTGTTGCGGCGTTTGACCTGGGGTCAACTATTGCAATTTTCGCTTACGGTTATCGTAAACAATCCACTTTTCGTCACATGTCACAATTCGATCCAATATTCCTTCATTTCTGCATTCCGATTCAACAAGGCAACACAAGTTTCAACTCGCATTTCGTTCTGCAGTAGTCAAATCATGAGGCACCCACTTTTCATATATTTTTAATCTTATTGATTTGAGCAAATGAGTCAATATTTTAGGTAGGTTAACGTTAACGCGGAGGAAGCCACCAGGGATCACTCAGAGGGATCAAGTCTCATAGTAGGAGGCACTCGCATTAGCGTCGTGCCCTCGATTAGGTATCTGGGTCTCCTACTCAATGGTCGATGGGACTTCGGACATCATTTCCGAGGTCTGGTCCCCAAGTAGGTTGGATCAGCGCGTCCACTGGCGCAGCTGCTGCCTAACATGAGGGGACCCGATGACTCCTGCAGGAAACTCTACTCGAGGGTTGTGCTGTCCATAGCCCTTTATGGGGCCCCAGTATGGGCGGGACCAGGGCCAGCAACGTCGCACTACTGCCACGACCGCAGCGAGTGCTGGCCATCAGAGTCATACGGGGGTACCGCATGATCTCCTTTGAGGCGGCGAGTCTAATGGCCGGAACTCCACCGACGGACCTGGAGGCGATTCTACTTTTAGGTTCCTCATAGGTATCATGTGAAAAAAGTCACACAAAAATCTCACACCATTAAGGTTTTACTCGTATGTCAATTCAAACTATCTATTACTATACAACGGCAATTTCATACTTTAACCCCTATTATTAAAATGTTGAAAGAACTATGGTTTAAATAATTATTATTTTATGAAACCTATAACGTTTTTGTACATAGCAAAAATAGTTTTCAACAACTCATCTACCTGTTTTCAAGTAAGTAGTATTTATAACATTTGTATATTTAAAAAAATAACAATAATTTCATCAATAATGGTTAGTCATATTCAGAAAGGAGATAGGTATAAAAATGTTATAAAAAGTTATATGGTTCATTATCCTCCTCCTTATGTCGTTATCCTCAATTCTGAGGTTCGTATTTGCGGCCATTTTGCTAGTGATAGCTTGCCACCCGTGCCTGTAGTATGAAAGCCACAGGCCGGAACAACTAGCAACAGAGGTATCTTTGGAACGTATGTATTACTTATGCGTATGTTACAAATATACCTCTGTCAGTCATGTACAAATCAGAATTAATAAATAATATAAATAATATAGGTAATCGATATTGACCTTGTTTGAATTTGAAACATTGATATTAATATTTGAACTCCTTAGGATCCAATTGATGCCAGACGAGAGGAGGGTGCTTCAGACCAAACAAAAGAAGAAGACGTGCAACCCGTTTATCGATGAGTCGTTTGTTTACCAAGTAAGTGAAGTTATCTTGTTTATTTTACTATGTTTGATGATCACTTTACTTATATAAGAAAAAATATGATTAACTTTTTTAATTTCACAGCTGTTCTAAATTTAAAATATATATATATATATATTTTAGTTACGTCTAAATCCTCAGTCGTCTAGCTTTCTTAGTCTTGGTTTGCTGTAATAAAGAGCTTACTATTTTTGAATATTATTTTATAATTCTTCAGATTTTAATGAAATTTAAAAATGGGATAAATCTAAGTAACTATTGAATTAAACCAATTAGATTTGAAGGCTTGTTCCGTCTTCAACCCACTGAATCCCATCTCATTGTTATAAAATCCCAAATGCTTATTCCGTACTCATACCTTTAAAATTAATTTGTTATTCTTGACTCAGCCAATTTTTATTCTTAAGTCATCTCACCGCAACTAGTATAGAAAGCACAATCATGCATTCAACCAATTCCATTATTTAATCAAGTTACAAGGAAAAAAATAGTTTACCAATACGTATTTTGGCATGTGCCTTACTTTGAAACCAATATAATTTCTATTTAGGACACACTTTCAAGTGTTCACGAAAACTGATTAAGTGGAAGAAACAGAAATATCACAGAAGTTCTCAAGATAGTTTAAACAATAGATAACTTTTTTCTACTCCGTCCAATGGCACCTGAGTCCCCAAGGAGCATGGGGATCGGAAGGGATTTTCAACCCAGTCAACAAAAAAAATGTAGGTGTGCTAATCACAGGGCTCCTCGATTACAAGTACATATATAATATTATTTTAAATCTGGTTAATAAGAAAAAATAATAAGTGCTTATTTTGCAGTTCGATAATGGTTTGGTTTTACTCTATGGTAGGTAATAGGTGTTGTATCGCATGCAACGAGGTGTTAATAACCTTTCTTTTTCACAGTCGTTTAATATATTTTTTGCAAACTGTCCTCACAAAACCTTTTTTATGAGACAATTTTGGTATGGAGTTTTAGAATAGCAAATTAAACAAAATAGGATCAGTTAAGAAAAGAAAAAAATAAAAATATCCTGGGATGAATGTGGAATAAAAACTAGGATCAGTTAAGAAAATGACGTAGTGGGATGAGATTTAGTAGGATGAAGACGGAACAACCCGAGTTGAAAGCTGTTTCCTTAAATGCTACACGTGACATGTTTTTATATTTTCGAACACCTAAAAAGACTCTTAAACAGTAAGTAATTTCATATTTATGATCTATTATTTGCTGAGTGTTGACCTTAGCATTGCTTATATTATATAGCAACTATATACCTACTAGATTTGCGGTATCTTGTCTAACTCAAAACTTAATTATGAACTGTTTAGCATAACGTACTTTTTTTGGAATTTGTTTTCTTAAAATGTCTATAATATTTCTAACTAAATTTAAATACAACTTATATTAGGTCTTTACCTATGAAATTGCCTTTCTTCAGTACTGGTCATTTCAAATAAAAAAGTTTGTAATGGCTCTGTATTCTAAATTCAAATTAATTTTGTTTTAAAACCATGCATTCTATTTACAAACTCAGTCTTTTGTTTTTTGATTAGCGCTGTGTTTTCATTACATTTGAACATTTTTAGTCATAATGGATATGCTATCCCAATAATTCAAAACAACAAAACGTTTCCCTAGAAAATTTGTTAGTCTCATATCTTATGTACACACTGATCTTTTAAAATTAAGTTATTTTAAACATGATTCTCGTTTATCTGTATATAACTGAAATGATAATCGTTTGTAAACGCGTAATTTTACAATGGCTAACTATAACTACACATAAAAGAATAAATTTGTTACCAACAGTCCGAATAAGTATACTCGTACATGTTTTTAAGGAAAAAAATGTGGGAAACTGACATGAAAATGAAGAAACTATGAAATAAGAAAAAGTGCTCTTAAATTGAATGAAGATGTACTACTTGAAATTATGATTCTGACATGAATTTAAAATGTTCTAGAAATGTGCTCATTTATAATTTCCTAATAATTGTACTTGCTCCGAAATTTTAATATTTAGACGTTATGAAGTGGAATTGTATCATTTGTCATCTATACGGGGCAACGAAGAAAATTTACAACACTAAATACAACACTTTGTTACCTCACAATGACAGCAAGCCTCAGTTTGGCCTCGACTCATAGAACAATAAATCAGTCTATATTAAATGGTAGCTAATAACTGTTTACTTTACCTAAAGTTAAGAATCTTTCTCAAAATAATTCTAACATTAAATCTTTTCAACAGATCCCACCTGGCAAACTCGAAAGCCTAACTCTAAAATTGTCAATAGTGGATACTGGTAGAGTTGGAAAAGGCAAACAACTGATTGGACATATCATCCTACCATTGACTGAGCTGGAAGGAGTCGCACCTGATGAAGAGCCGCAGTTGTACAAGCTTGATATAGAAAAGGTATTATTATATTATAGATTAGATATACTAGCATTTATAACTCACACCGTATATTCATTAGATACACCTTGTTATTTCGATATTGTAATATGTAATTAGTTGCTGAGGCCTGAAGGTTAGCATTATTAATTATCTTAATGAGCCTATAATTACGCCCTTATGTAGAAACCTTTAATAAAAAACTCTTAGTAAAAAATTATATTACATTAGGCCTAGAAAATGTTAATTGTTACTGTTACTATCGTTACTACAATTGCTACTTAATTGTATACTAGATCAATCTTCGTGTCATTGTCTTGCAAACGAAAATATTTCGGTTCCTTATGAATGGTCAATAGTACCATTAACCATTAATAGACATCTTAAATTCAGGATATTCCCGAAAGCTGTTTAGAGATTCAAATTTTTAATTAAACTAAAACAAAAACACAAAGTTCATTCAACTAGATTCATTTGTTAGACATAATATTTATAATCAAATAATAGTAAAAAGGCCCTACAACGCACTTGTTGAATATACCTACTTAATTTGGTCACCCCCTACCAAGCAATCAGTTTATGCCATAACGGTCTTCGAAAGATTTATATAACCAGCTGTGCACACTAAACAGCGGGATATAGAAGCCTCCGCATCAAGATGTTTATTTTTCAGCAAGGAACGAAACTAGCGACAAACGATCTTGGTATGGACTTGAACAAACCCCTATTTAGAATTTTCTGAGAAAATGATAATATTTTTGTTTTCCTTCTACTGTAAAGATTTACAACTGTCGTTCATTCAAGGGTGACTGAATGATCACAGACTGTACTACTATCGCAGCTTATTGGAACGAAGTTCGTGCTTTGAGCGGACGGGAGCGAGACCGAAAAATGTTGAACAAGACTTTTTTACGACACTTCTTGCTATAGTTACATCTTATTACTTGTTTTTTAAATTAAGTACATCATCGTAAATTCAAAAACATTTTGTTTTTAATTGTTACTAACTTAATTATCCCAGATCATTCACTGTTTAATTTATCATTATTTATTTTATCCATAATAAATATATTTTGTCATTTAAACTTTTATAATTATAATGACTGTATAGCAAACGTCTCACGTCATTTTAGATATAAACAAATGGGTTTATGACATTATTGTTCAAATTACATTTTTACGATAAAATGATTTCTATGAAATGATCCTTTTTGAAATTATAGAAAATTATATTTTACTATTACTATAATAGTTTTACTTTTTAGTTCGGCTAGCTACAAAAGCGTGTTTTTTTAAGTTTTCGCCATAGATATACCGATTTCCACGGGCACTTTCACTATTAGACAGATAGCAGATGTAGTGAAGAGCCTGAATTAAATTGATTTAAGAATATCTGTCTTTTAATTCGAATTCTAATTTACTTTGAAAAAAATACGCCGACTTCAATGGACGTAAATTATGTTACGTACGAAAGTTCAATTGAGAACCTCATCTTTTTTCATTTCTCATTCAAGTCGGTCCGGTACGAATTATTTACTTAGGTATACTAACGTACTATATAGGCAAATAGTATTAGACGGCAAGATGTATTTTATTAATATAAAAAAATCAAATTTGGCTTTTCGGCAACCGCGTTTATTATTTAAATGCGGTCATGGGTTCAAAAGCAAAAGCAGAAACGTATGTGCCGGAAATAACACTGAATTTTGCTATTTTTACAGCTTTTTCACACTATACTACACTACATTTTATTTTATTGGGTATAACCGCCAGATATATTAAGCTGAACATTTTATTATAACATATTAGCATTTTATTTAATGGCAAACTGTGTAGTAGCACTTTTCAGTATTTCTACAGAACTTTGATATCGCCTAGTACTTGGGTTGTGGAGGTCTGATGGCGGTCACGGAGTAGACTTAAGGCAGACCCCAACCTAGTTTGGGAAAAAGGTTCGGAGGAAGATTTGTAGTAGCACCTTTACAGAATGTATTAGAAACTAATAAAATGTATATTATGTACTTAATACTCATTTGTGTATAATGTTGTAAAGAAGATATAGTCATATTGTAGATTTGTTATGTATAGGTATGTATGTAATAAATACTACTAGTGAGTCAACTTAGCTACTTAAAAGGGCAACGCTGGGGCGCGGTGTGAAGGAGAACAGAGTCCTCCCCCCTAATACTTATATACTTTTTTTTGGAAATAAATACATATTATACATAGAAAACACCCAAATTCGGAAACAAATATTTGCAGATCATACAAACATTTGGTCCGACCCGGGAATCGAACCCGCACGCACAACAGTCGCATACGATTCCACTTATTATTATTATTTTTGGTTTGGATTTATATCCTTAGTTTGTTTACAGGATCTTCAAGAGCCAACATCTGATCTGGGAGAGATACTCGTCTCATTATTATACAATGAAAACCTTCACAGGCTAACAGTCACGGTCATAGAAGCCCGAGCTCTAAAGGTACGGTATAGCACTGAAAACTCACTTGCCTCTTGTTCTCAGCTCCACTTGTTGTTCAATGAAAAGAAAACTTAAATTTGTATTGAACACTCGATTCAAGGTATTCGACAATTTTATACCGCTTTTAGAAACTTCTATGGAAATATAAAAAGCATACTGCGCACCACTGTATTGTCCTACATACATCAGTACTTTCGTTTCAATCAATAACAAATATTGTACGTAAATCTATTTTATTTAAGAAATGAATACTGAAAAATCATCAAAACCGACACCGGCTTACAAAGGGACGTTTACTTTCTAAGTAACTTAAACAACAAATGTCTTCGAATTTAATAACGAAGAGCACCTAATGATTTGGAATATCCTTGTTTTTTATTTGAATTATTATTATGAATGAAATGATGTTTTTAAAAACCAAGTAATTCTTAAAAATTATAACTTTAGTTTTTATACATCAATTCGCAATTTTAAATAAATTTAAGTAACAGTTATTATTTAGATTTCATATTCACTAAAGCTGATGTGAAAAAAGTTATTACGTTAGATGAATGGTGACAGCAATGCCCTATACACTATTTTATATTGAAGATATTCTCATTTTAATATCGATTACTACTGACTCAGGAATCGATTAATAATTATTAACTCTCTTTTAAATGTTACCAGAAATGATTTTTCATAACAAAACTAACATAAAAACCGGATTACTAAACGTAAAGATTTTCAATTTATGCCATACAAAACTTGTAACAACTGATAGGTTGACCCTTTTTTGGCCGCAACCACACAATGTTTGGTTTCCCAATACAAACACATTTTCTATCTACACAAAAAAGTGTAGCCGGCAAACACCGAAACATGTTAGGCATTTACACAACGGCTATAGGCGAATTTTTCTTACTAAGGTGTGGCTCCCAAATAAACTCCGTACCAAATACTCTGCTGGATAACATTTATTTATGGTAAGCTTTAGGTATACTGAGAACCCTTTCACTAGTTGTTACAAATAATTCAACCACACATTACACTTTATTTCTATTAAGTTGATATTAAGCAACACTTTCGCGGCAACACACTGTGTGTCTCTTGAGTAGTCCATGAGCAGCGGTGGTCACTTACCATCAGGTGATCCATCTGCTCGCATGTCCCCATACGGATGCATCGCTATTATAAATCTCTAAGCATCTCTTTTATACCAAAATTCTTGTATGCTAACGGCAACACCACTGGGTAAGACTGATTAAATATTATTATACAACGAAATAAGGATCCTTGTATCGGGTCTACGACAATCAATTTGTTTGCCATAGATTATTTTCAATTAATATCTTTCGGATCTTTTTCCCCGCTATACGTATAAATGACTAAATAAAAAGATATTTCTGGATCACGATAGACGCGTGATTTATTTTCTCCTTCTTATCTGAAAGTATTTTACTCCAGCCCATCGCCTCCAACTCTATAAGGCGCAAGTCCGACCGCATATGGAATACTGTTCTCATCTCTATGCAGGGGCACCACAGTACCAGCTTCTCCCTCTGGACCGTATTCAAAAAAGAGCGACTCGAATCGTCGATAGCCCGACCATCTGCGATCGACTCGATCCCCTGGCGTTAAGTAAAGAAGTGGCCTCACTCTGCATTTTCTATCGCATATATTATGGGGAGTGCTCCGAGGAATTGTTCGGAGTAATACCAGCCGCACTTTTCCGTCATCGTTCCACAAGGCAAAATTTTCATCCACTACTGTGCGCTTTTCGAGACACTTTTTGCCCCGCACTACCAACCTGCGGAACAAGTTATGGGCTGCGGTATTTCCGGACCTATACGACTTTCAAACCTTAAAGCAAAGAGCGTACTCCTTCCTCAAAGGCTGGCAACGCGCTTGTGACTCCTGAGTTTCAGGCGTTAATGGGCGGCTGTAGTCGCTTTCCATCAGGTGACCCATCTGCTCGTTTGGCCCGTATTCCATTAAAAAGAAAAAAAAAAGAAAGTAGTTGTAGCTTTATAAGGTAGGTCTTCAACAGTCATAGCATTGCACAGTTGCTTTGCAGTTATTTAATTAATATTTGTAAAATTAAAAACATGTACTTTCTGTACTCATTAGAAAAGTACATGTTTAGTGGCTTTTCATGAGGTTCGTCTACGAGTACTCGTTCCATGAAAAATAACAAGTCGACGCTTGGGAAAACAAATGTAAAATAAATAAATTTTAAAAACTAATAAATTTTATTTCAAATGATTTACCTAAAAAATAGGCAGTTTTTTACTATTTAAAGCCTTTGGGAAATCAACTTGAATTACTATTTGATTAAAATTACTTATATAACAATTGTACCTAGATTTAGCAGACGTTTAATTTAGATCTGTACACGCAAAAGTTCGTCAACTTGAAAAGAATTGACAAACTTATATACCTACCACTAAAAGTATTTCTCTAAGAACTTTGCAGACATTATTAGTTTTACTTAGTTTAGAAGAAAAGTAAATACTTGACTTTATGCTCAAAATGGAGGACGTGCTTGCTGAAGCACATTCTTCTAATTATTATCTTCATTACTATATCTTCTTTATTAAACTCGTTATATGTCCAAATGATGCGTACTTCTCTTTTTAACCTCTACATAAATTTTTTTCTCTACTCTTTATATATCTAATATATTTTTTAACATCTTAACTAGTCAATATACACCGTTAGATATGTTTAGTACGTCAAAAGATTACGAAAAAATGCTGTTATTATCTCATTATTAAGTTATAACAGAATTCGTTAATCAATTTACCATAAAATACTCGTAGCAGTAGCAGTCAAAATTTTATTGAAATTTAAAATAAGTTTGTTTTAATAAACGTAATATTAAATTAGTACATACATACATACTATACAAATAAGTTTTGTATATGTAATAATCGCTGTAAATCCTCACGTTTGCCATCTACTATAAAAGTTTTAAAGTTGAAGCTTGCTATTTCGCGCTACTACTAGAAATCTTTAACTATGTAAGGATTTTGTTTTAAATGCTCTGCCTCACATCTAATGAAAAGTCACACACCTCGAGCTTTTTCCTCAGTTGGATCCTTCATCAAGCAGGAGAGAAATGGTCGTTCGAGTGACGCAAGAGCGAGCATGCCGCGGAGTACGAGCTCGTCGCACTGCTGCTGTTGACGTCGGAGATGACGGTTCCGCTTTTGTCTCTGAGTGCTTCCACTTCAGGTTGAAGGCTGATGAACTCCATACCACGAGTGTTACCATACAGGCGTTGCAACCACACTCAGTATATGCTAAAGGTAAGAGGGATTATAAAGGCAAGTATTATCAAAATAAAAATACATATAACCAGTACCACTACTAATTTACAACAATAATCAACTAATATATTTTCAGATACATTTAGTAATAAATGATATTCAATGCTATCAATATCCTGCTGTTTACAGCTAGATACTCATTATAATAGTTCTTCCTTTTATAATACTCATTTCGTATGATACCTACTTATGACCTAAAAGTAAAACCAGCTATGCCCGCCTCAGTATGACTCGCATTTACATATTTCTATTTATTTTAAGGATTCCTAATTGTTGTTATAATTGGAATAATTTATCAAGGTCGTAAAGTTCTAAAGTGTATAAAGCTAAGATACAAGCGTTCACCCTTTCTAAATGGCTGAAACGATAAGACTATCCAAACACAATAACATACATTGTTCTTATTTCAGATCGACTACTTGGCAAGTTCGTATTAGGATCATACATGTTCGCAAGAGGACGTGCTTTACAACACTGGAACTCGGCCCTCGCCGCGCCCATGGAGCAAGTCAAACAATGGCACCCGCTTACCAATTAAAAACGACAACCCGGCTAACACACAATGAACACGTTATGACTACCGACCTGACCTAGTTGTGCATCTACCTAATTTTGGCGTATTATACCCCTTAGAGATGTACTGAGCACGATTTGTCTTGACGACGGAGTGTTTGTAATCTCATTTTATTCCCACATTGTACGGCTTCGTGCTTTGTGAGTAATAATAAGTATAAATATAAAAAAGTTCTATTTGAATTAAATATCGTGAAGTTTCAAATGTCTAAAAATGAATTTATTAATATTTTTGTAATTCCAATTTACACTACATTCCATATCGCATAGGAATTACATATTTTTGATTACGCCAATTCAAGTAGAAAACATTTTTTGCAACAGCATAATATGTAGGTATTGAAGTTATTGAATGGCATATTTTAATCAATATAATTAATTATCTTGTTAAATAATCTGTACTTCAATTCTCAAACACTTTTATTATAAATATACATACATATTTATCTTAACAACAATTTATTGCTCATAGGTAATAATCTTATGGAGTAAGTGTATTACATATTCAGACTACTTTAAGATAAGCTACACCTTATATTATAGTAATATACTCATTTATAAATGTTTAATAATATGAAATATTGCCAATATACACGTATTGTAGTAGAAAATAATTTCGACAACGTGCAAGATCAATGAAATAAAATGATGTAACGCCAAATTGGCAAAAATCATGCTTTTTATTTGTAAAAAGAGACTTCCAAAAAAATTTGTAGCTCTTTTTTTTACGCTGAAAATTATCAAGTGGAAGTTTACGTTACAAAAAATGGCAAATTAAAGCTGAAATGCATTTAATATGACATCTATCCTACTATCTGACGGACAAATCGCATGCTCCTTGGTCCATCCAAGCTGTCTTCCTTGTATTCCTGTAACATACTTCCATTCCTTTTTACAAAAGCACTCCTACAGATTGCAAGAACGTGTGAGAAAGATGACACTCATCAATAAATATAACTTAGCCTTAACAAACCATGTATGGAATAAGAGCATTTAAAAAGTACATTATCTTTACAAGCGGTAAGGCAATGAACCTGGAAGGAAGGAATTAATGAACGTATAAAAAATTGTTCATTCGCAAAGTTTCAAAGAAATCTCGATATACAATACAACATGATTTTTATTTTTCTGTGCGCAAATCACCTCGGATACCGTGGTTATGTCGGACTCTAACCGACTAAAAACCGCACGTCGTCTCATGTACCAATAGGTGGGGACCCAGGTGTGCCCTAGGCAGGAAATCTCTAGTACCCCGACGTACCCCGGGACATCTACGGCATGTAGATGATCCCCTCATATACTTTAATATGTTACTTAATTTGTTTAACTTAATTTTATATAAGCGTAGACAAGAAATACGTGAAATACTGGTAACTACGAGTTAGTGTATCTAGTTAGTATATCTGTGCAACAACATCATTATACTGTTGTATAGTATATTATTATGATGTAATAATTGATCTACGAAACAACGCAATAACAAATAATACAAGCTCAAACTCTCAAAGCCCCCAGCGATTAGTCCTCTAATATTAGGTATCGGTAATTGCTCGCTAGAGGGTTTGAACTCACATTCGTCATTATAGCGGAATTTTGTTGTATTTTCGCATTAAATGATTTCGGTCAGGACTATTCATCACTACAAATATAACAGAATTAGTTATTTTACATGATAGTGAACTTTAACAGAATTAGGTTTCAAATTTTGTAATTAAAATAACATTAAATATAGAAGTAAGAAGTCAAGTCGTAACTCTTTGGGCGATAAATAAGAGTAGGAAGTACATAGCTTTTAAACACCACCACCATAGAGGTTAACACTCTATTACAGTGCAGCGGTATGTCATTCGGCCACTGGTTAACAACAATTTTAGGTTGGTCATAATTTGCTGACGTATTTAAACATAATACAATACCTGAAATAAAATGCAGACAAAAGTCTTCCATTATATAACGAAATAGAATTTGTATGAAACATTCCTAAGACAAAGTCGTAAGAGCCAAATAGGGGAGCAAACTACGCAGGACTACATTACTGTAAAGAGAATTAAAACTTGACACAAACCCTATACCAACCCGTCTGGTATAGTAGGTCTAAACCTCCTTTCTAAGGAGAGACCTATATCCAGCAGTGGACTTTTAAAGGCTGCTGATGTGATGTGTGTGATTCCTAAAAAGATGACACGATTATAATCGTTTATTTAGATACTGAAAATGCAACTAAAGGGAAACTATTTTAATAATTTTGAAAAAAAAACCCTTTTCCACCGAATAATAACGTAATGGACTACGTTATTATTCGGCGGCAAAGGGAAAACAAAATTTTCAAACCTAAAGCACTTGATTTTCGACATAAAGATTATTCATTAAAAATAAACAGCATGCTTCGGCAGCACATAGGGATCGGCTTGACTGGAGTGACACTACGACCTCACAGTAAACCGATGATAAGCAATTCTTTCATTGCCTTTAACCGAGTGAGTTACAATACCGAAAGATTAATCCTCTCCCACAATGCGAGGCACTTAAAGGGCGGCCACGCAGTTGTGACTCGAGCTACAGGTGGCCATAGGCGGCAGCAGTCACTTAACATCCTATGATCTGTGTGCTCTTTTGACCCCCGTGTCATGAAAAAATAAACGATATTGCTCTCATCTGTATTTCGGAGATGTCCGACTATTTTTTTTTCTGATAAAGGTTATATTTAACCCTTTAAGTATGGTGATTATTCGTGGTTCTTTATTCATACAACATTAATCATATTAATAAGAGGACAAAAGTGAGACAAAATATTGATAAGCACTTTTTGGACGTGGACAAGCAACAGACAGGGATTCTTCAATGGCAACTTGTGAGTCTTAAATGAGTAATACTAAGATTTGACAAGAGAAATGGTTTGGAAGGTGAATGATTCATTTTAGAAACCCTTAAAGTATCCCAATAATTTAGGGAAAGTTTCTTAGTGTGTGTGTTTTTGTGACTAACTTTGATAAAATTATTATGGAGGTGGGAGATACCCTTTTTTTTCCGTGCGGAAATCCCCTCGGATACAGGTGGGAGATACCCTGGATCTTTTTATTCCGAAAAAAGTAGTGTAACCGTGAGATGAGCAAGAAATTGAAATATATGTAACACCGCGGAATGTAAGGAAGAAGTTTTAAAAAAAGCAATGTGAGAGCTAACTTACTTCAATGCCATTAGGTGAATTCTATTTTGTGTTGGTATTACAATTCATTGTATTAATTGTATTATAACTTAGAAGTGGCTGATTTAATCTGTAATTAGTTACGGTTATATATTTCGTTGCTTTGTTAATTACCGTAACTATTTTGAAATACCACCATATTTAAGCAAGCCTTAGTTTTTGATTACATTAGCAGCCTAAGTGGGTTTAGCCATATTTTCTGTCGAAGAATAAAATGTACCTAACCTGTAAAATTTTTATATTACACACAAGTTACTTTATAAAGCTTAATATTCTATAAGACTCCTTACTAATGCTTTCACTCCAAAATCTTTTGTTAAGTAGTAGCAGAGTGTACAATGGCCTTTATCATTAATACTATCCTAGACGTTACTAAAATAGATTTAAACACGACTCCAACATAGCATTGCACCACAACACACCCGCGAACGTGTGCATACCTTGTATACATTAAGTTGATAGCATAAATACAAAATATGATTGGTTCTACGTCCATAAGAGCATGTGCAATGCTCTTCCTTACCCAGTTTGGAAAACCAAAACAGATGGTTTTGGTTTTCCAAACTTCATTTCGTCAATGTCAAATTTATTCGTAAACGACGTAAACGTTGACCCCAGTGCTTTTGTACCTTCACCTCTGTGGAAAGGATATTGCTTTATTACGACCACTGTCTAGACCTAATAACTGCAATGTTCTTAAAAGATATATAATTTACGCTTTTCTGAACGTTACCCAGCAACGGTTGTGACTGTTTTCGTTACAGCGTGCAGGGCAGTTCGGTAGGTACGAATTTAAAAGTAATAAATGTATTCATCAATTTGTAAACTGATATTTTCATTGTTATAAATGTACAGTTCAATTTTTTTTTTTTTTGAGTTATATATATATGTTACAAAAAGCTGCTGATACTGTACTGCAGACTGATCACACAAACACATCACAACGTATACTACAAAGAAATAATAGCCTTATTTACAATACCAATACAGTTCTATCAAGAAAAAAGCGGACATTCAACATTTATTGAATAATAGTCATCCTTTGGCCATTGAAATTATGGCACTTATGTAAAAAGACGCTCGACAAACATAGCAACCCTCTTCTTTTTAAAGCCAGTATAAATAATAACATTCTATGTACGCAGTAACTAATTTAAATGAAATAAAACTATTCTATTCTGATCTTTATGTAATGTAGCGAAAAATGAATAAACATAGCAAGTCGTTTTTTTTTATAATTACATAAACTTACAAATAAGCTGTCATTGTCTGTCAATTACTGAAAAACCATTGACGTTATTTTCAAACAAGTTTTTTGTGAAAAATATATCTCAAAGTTTGTTAATTAATGGTTTAACTAGCCCTTTCATTGCGTATTACTTTTTATCTAGATTATTAAACAAACGTAATTAATCAATCTCTACTGTTGTGAATTTCGTGTTTTGTGATAATAAATAATTATGTCGGTTTGGTAAACAAATGATAAAACTGAAACATAAAGCGTAATTACTGTTAACATAATATGTGGTAATAAAATGTATTTTCACCCTGTTTAACATACCAATTTTAATGTGTAATACATTTTACATACATTATACATACACAACATTTTGATATCATCGAAAATGAAGTAAGTCTAAATGACAGAACGCCTTATATATGGGTCCTTTAATTATGGGAAACTTTAAAGAAGAGTTGCGCTTTTTATTAGTTTTTACATTGAACAAATACTCTTTCAATCAGATAGAACCTGGATGACC